CAGCGGGCCCCTTCTTTTGCCGGCAGGCAGTAATTAGAAGGCGGTTTGCTTCCCTTTGCTATTCGGTTAAACGAGGAGGCTTCCCTTGAGTTAATCCAACGTTGAATGAGATCAGGTAAAGATCCGAGGTGGATTGTTTCGCTTTTTCTTAAAAAGGCAAGTATTGATAGGACATTTTAAACTCCCCAACAATTAGCCGGCAGGGCGCAGACTACTGTTGGCCACATACAAACCCTCTTAGAATCATTGGCGTGTTGAGCCTTAAAGCCTAGGAGGATTTTCAGAAAAGTGCTCGAGATTTAGGTATTTGGGTGGAGCTCTAAGTTGAGATGCGGTGGATGGGGCTCCTTTCTCAGGGGGTGACCGGAAACAGGAATATGGGTAGGGCAGACCTGTGAGTAAGCACACGCTGCTACTAGAGGTTCTTTTCAAAGAACTGGTGGCAGGACAGCAGCCTGTCCGTTTCCTTCCTGGAGTTGCACAAGGCTGGTGGACCTGGTAGGGGAGAATAAAGGCATCCTTTCTAGGCGTCTGGCTTCCTTAGAAGATATCCTGTGTGTATATTGATGGCTAAATTAGAAGTATTTTGAAACTGCAATCCGATGGTGTTTAAAAGTGGGGATATGTGAGGATCTGTGCACATTTACTATTCATTACTGCTTTAAGGATTGCAATTATTTCAGGGAGTGTAAGGGAGGAGTCCTATAGAAGCGAGCATGCTTCTCAGGGAGGATCCATTAGGAACCAGTGGAAGGCTGATGGGAATTAAGAATGGGCTGTGAGGTCATGGAGGGAGGTAATGTTTCCCTTTGGCGGCATTGGAGCCAGCCAATCGCTGGCTTCATCTCACCCTTACGTTGCCATCCCCATATGCTCCTCCGGCCTATTGGCTTGTGGAGAAAATGGGGCGTCTAATAGCTCTCTTGCTTCAGGCAATGGCAGACCAAAGAAGGAAGACTCCTCAGTTGAGATCCTTTTCACTGGTTTCTGCCATCCTGCTGCTAATGCCTGGCTAGACGAGTACCTCCCTCTTTGCATGACACCCTTTAAAATCCCTTGCCTGCACTGGTGTCACGGTTTTAGATTTCTCTACACATAACAAGGTATCTGCTAGGTAAGACAAAAATGTTTTGATGGGGGGAGGGGGGTTGAAAGTATGGGATACAATCTTTTCTCCAAATGTCCCCTCATTAAAATTGCCCCCAATTTTATCACAGATCTTTCCAAAATACAATAATTAATTGACAAGAAAAGGCTTCACTTTGTTTCTGTGCTTATTTGTAAATAGACACGCTCTTCAGGTTTGCTGTATTTAAAGGTTTTAAGAAAAAAGAGCTACTTTCTGCCATGTAGCTGTTAATAATTGAAGGAAATATGTTCTTGCCTAATATATCTGCTCTTTGGGTAGCAAAGTTCCAAAGGACAATTACCCCCACTTTGACTGTATCTGATATATTTGCTTTAAAAACTCTGCTGCCATAATCTGAAATGAACTTCAGTCATGTTTACAAAAGGAGCTCTTGATCATTATGGCAGTACTCCATTGTGGTTTGATGATACCTCTCTCAAAATTGTCAAAAAGTTTAAGCTGCAGTCCACAGTCCTGTTTCTTCAGGATCTTGTAGAAGATAACTGATCTTACCACAACAAACTAATATGACTCTTGCTTTGGCAATCTTTAATCTCAGGAAACTTTTGGCAAAATGTGGCATTCAAGAATAGCCTTTATGAACTTCTGAAGATGTTGGGACTGCAACCTCCAGAATTCCCAGCCCACGTGGAGGCACTTGGTTAGAGAAATCTGTACTACAGTAAAATTAAGAACTCAAGATTGAAGCAGAGTAGTTGGGTAGAAGAGCTTGGGGGCTTCTATTTTACTTCAGAGTTTGGTAACAGGAAGGTCTGGAAAAGGATCATGATATCTTCTCATTCTCCAAGGAATATTTCTAGCTTGTGAAGAAGCACAATTCTAATCAAGAGAGAAAAGGAGAAAATACCCATGTGTGAAGAATGGCAAGCATGTTGGTCTGTCTGATCTGCCCAGAATATATTAAGAAAATGCAAAGTGTGCTCAGGGGACATCCTGCCTCTTGATAAAAGCCTTAAGTGTAACCCCTGATGTTTTGCACACTGAACTGCCAGTGGAGTAGGTGTGTGATGCTGCCTCATTTACAGAATCATCTGTCCATTTACTTGTTGCTGGAGCTGCTTTAAGTCAGCACCTCATTCACTCATTCATTCAATTTGTATAGCCACCCAACTCAAACAAGTAACTCTAGGTGGTGAACAATCATAAAATCAATTAGACCAATTAAAAACACAATACAAAAAGAAAAATTAAATGCTAAGAAATATTATAATCTGTAGATGTTAGCATAACCAGGAAACAGGGCCCTTCACACACTCAGCACCCTGGCATTTAGGCTAGATTGGGTGGGGCAAGATGGATTGTTGCTATGTTTGCAAGTACTCCCCAGTAAGCTGCAATTGTACAGAATGCTAGGTAGGTATGATTCATTTGTCCTGTTGACATCTCTGAAGCCCGAACTAGTAGAAGTTGAACTTGCCCGACTCCAGTGTGCACTTCACTACTGAACTGACATCATCTGAACTCCTATTAGATGAATCACTTTAGTCTGGCCAGGAAGACAAGACTTGAGTGCATATCTTTCAGTAGAAATAAGCTCCTGATTTAGTGCCATCCTTTGGTAATGTGCAACTACAAATTCATGGTTCCAGAATGCCCTTTATAAAATAAATACATATAAGAGGCTAGAGTATTTTGTGAGGCCTTTTAATATATTTTTAAAATAATTAAGCTGTACCTATTATGGAAATTGGGAAAAATGTCTATTGGTTTTGCTTAAGTAGGGGTTGATACTGGGAGATAATGTTTTATGGAAGCCATGTTCACACTGCATATTGCAAGCTTGGCTCATTTACAATATCTCTATGGAGTTGTTCACTACAGGCCATAAAGTAGGGGTTCATGTAGCTATGCAGGCATCCAGTTTTGTAGGATAAATGTTGCCCTTTGGATCTGAAACTCTGCCCAGCCTTAACCATGACTATCTTGGAGTTTTGTTAAGCCCCAATTGGTGATTGGGAAGCTGTGTTGGAAGAATAGCTTACAATACTCCAGCCCTATATTCCACTGTTTCATATTGGAGGTCACTGGTGAAGTAGTGTCTTACTTGAATTTCCCATAAAAAGCTCCTTGAGATCTGTAAAGATAAATATTGTGAACCTTTACTGCAATAAGGAATAATTAACAATCATAAGCATGATTGCATGCTGTTAGAAATACTTGAATGTTAGATTGTTTGCATGTTTGGAGTAAGACAAAATGCAGAATTGTGAACTGTTACTTAATTTCAGACTCCCAGCTCTCCAGGAAGCTGTGTAGTAAACTCCTTGTAGAGAGGAGTTTCTACCTTTTTATGGTCCAGTTCATATCACCATGGCTAAATCGAAGGACAGGCCATTGTGCTAAGACGTTTGCTGTTTGCTCTGCAAATAGCGTGATTGCCTGGACCGCCCATCCTTCAGTTAATTTATTTACTACGAGTGGTCCTGAAAGTGAGAGGAGTTGGTGGTGTGACTGCAGCTCCACCTCAGGATGTGTGCAGTTGGCAATGACAACCAGCCTCCTCCCTCTGATGGAAGGCAGAGGATAGTGCAGAATGGCTCTGTGACTCAGCTGAAACCTGTCCTCTATCTTACCCAGTTTGCATAATCAGAAGATATAGTTATACTCCTCTATATATGCAGATTTTCAGCTATACATTACAGTTCAGGGCAAAATTTAGGTTTGCATTGTTTGCACAATTAACTGTGGGAATGGTTTAAATGTTAATTACAGACACTTGCAGGCCAAGCTAGAGCAGACCCTCGCAAGATCCTATTATAGTTAATCCTTTAATTAAGATGCCAGCAAGATCTTAATCTAATATGCCCCATGCTTGTATTTTAGATCTGTAAAGCCATTTGCAGGTTATGACATGCATGAATGGTGCGGGAAACCCTTTCTTTAAAACTGCCTGCCATGCTAAATCCATAGGCATAGGCCCATGGACAGGGCCAAGCTTCATACAAAGTAGCTTTAATGACAGGCTGGAACTAGGTTCAGTCAACAATCCCATATTAGATGAGAATTTGAACAGGCTACCTCCATATCAGAGGATCTGATTAAATGTTATAGTGCTGATGTAAAGGGGAGCTGTGCGTGCTATCTGTGGCAGCAATCACACAACTGAAAAGTCCCTTCCTCATGCCTTGTGGGAGTAAGATTCAGGGAGCTTCTCCAAGCCAGAGGCATCTGTTGTGATTGTCTGTTCTATATCTGGAGAAGTAAGACAGTCTCCAAAGCAGATTACCTCTGACGCTGTACTGCAATGGATCTTGCTAAGGTTTGGATCTGGAGTTATTTATTTATTTAATTTATATGCTGCCCATCTCCCCCAGTTAATACTCTGATCAACAAAGCTTTACTTAAGGCATTACTTAATTCCTTTTAATTAACTCATGAAAAAGATCTATGCCCTACCCTTTGTGGAAACTGTTAAGTTTCTAATAAGGCCCACGTGACATCGCCCATGTTGTCTGGGAATCATAGGAGAGCTCCACTTGAGAAGTTGACATAAGGCTTTAGCGACAGGTACCCAAGCTTGGAGGTCATGTCTTTACCTGGGAAAACTTTCCCTTAACTAAAATCCAGGGCTTAGTGAGCAGAGCGGAGATTGTCTGTGTTTATAACAGCAGTGAGGCAAACAGAACTCTTAGCAAATTCCAGGGGTCAGCCCTGGCATTAAAGAAGGCTCTGAAGCTTGCGACCCTGCGGAAGATACAGCTAGTTCAAAATCAGGCTAGAAATGTGCATATTTTAGCAGCTAAAAAAGCAGCTCTCCAGTCTTTAGTCTTCAAAACTAACTACAAAATACAGCTGGAATGGAATTGATGAGTGGACTAGCTGTCAGGGAGGGAAAGGTATAGTTTCATTGAGATTAAATGTGCTGTCAGTGCTTTGTGGCTTCCTGTAGAAACCCAAATGGCAGCCTCTTCACAAACTGTAGTACAAGCTGCTGCCCCAGATTGGGTCACCTGCCCCACATTGCCAGTCCTCCCGGGTATCTGTTGCTCAGAGTTTCAGGCACAGTTTTTCCAGGCCAACCTAGACATACAGGGGATTCAGTTTCCATATGGAAAGAGTATACTGTACCAGTGAGCTGCATCAAATAGATCTCCCCATTGTTACTGTCTCATCTCATCTTGCTCTGTGTGTGGGTATGTTTGTTTGTGGATACAATCAGAAATGTCTAATTCTAGATCAATCTTTCTGGTTGGTAAGATCTTCAGAGTCTCTTCTCTGGATGCCTCTTCTACCTTTGTGGAGTTTGAGAAGGATACGTGGGCACTTAGAATTATTTTTAAAAGTTGAGATGTGTATAGTAATAATATATATAAAATAGACTTGGATTCATATCCTGTGGTGAAGGTACTGATAAATATCCCATGAATAGGTTTGTCTAATTCACACTTAAGAAGTTCTGTTTGTAGCGGTAAGGACTGAACGCAGAATGTGGTTGTTTCTCTTTCTAATGGCTAATGAAACTCTTTTGCAGAGGTGAGTAAGTGTGGAAGAAATGAATTTCAGTGCAGAAATGGAGATTGCATCCCTTACAAATGGATCTGCGATGGCAAGGCTGAATGCCAGGATGGCTCTGATGAATCCCTGGATGCCTGCAGTAAGTTGGCTAATGCTAATTCTGAGCAACTTTTCCTCTTCCAGTCTCCCCAAAAGCCACGCATGAAAGGACAGTCTTCAAGTACCTGTGCCTATAAGAATATACTCTGGATTTGCCTGGATCTCTACCATCTGTTTCATAGAGGCTGGGTTTGCACATGCTAAACCATGGTTTTGCTAACTAAACTGTTTGGAACAAATCACAGCCAGCTGTGATTGCTTAATACACTAAGCCATAAACTGTAATATAGAAATCAGAGTGAGTTCACACAACATGCTAAATGATAAACAGATAAGTTACCTGATGGCTTACTATAATGTGTGCATTCAGCCAGTATCTTACCAATTACATTCTGCCTTCCTACTGAATGTTCTCCAACTTCCTATAGACTGTAAGTAGAGAAAGCATTCTTCCTGCAGACAAGCTGCTTGTTTCAAGGATGGATGGAAGTTCACTGGAACAACTGAGAACAAAATATGGAGTTAATCCCTGTTAGCTTCATCTTGCCTCATGGCATGGGGGTTCACTGCTTCAAAAAGACTTAGGAGAAGAGAGAAGTTTTGTGGAACAAGAAAGAGACCGTAGTGGCTTGTTTATGTATGCCCAGGGCAGGACTGAAATAGCTTTGCCATTTTTTTTAATTCTGTGAATGCTAGCAGCTTCTGATGACATGGCAAGATTTGTGCTTTGTGTCAGAACAGTTGAGTTTCCATGCCTTCCTGTCAGCCCCACTAGACCAGACCAGGAAATCAATTTCACAGGAAGGCTGAAACTACTTTTATTGAGATTGGCCATAATAACAGAATCTTACAAGTCTGATTTTGCTGTACCTCCACCTTTTCATAGTTCAGTGAGTTAGGGAGGCGTCTGCCTGAGCAGCTTCTGAATATTATCTTGATGTTCTGTAGTTAAAAAATGCTTCAGCCCCTTTTGCCTAGGTAACAGTTCCTGCATATCTCCATCAAGGTCATTTTCCTTACTCTCTCTAATTCCTGTAGTGTTGCACCTGCTAATCTGACAGCATGTGCAGGAACGCATAGCTCCACTGACATTGACTGCCATGTTTTTTCTCCCCACGCCAGAGCTTGTGCTTTCCCCCTCTCTCTTAGGCTCTTTGGGCAGGGAGCAACATCCCTATGCCTAAGCCTAACCCAAAGGAGCTGCTTTGTTGAGGTTATTCAGGCAATGGGATTACAGTATAATACAATCAGGGTTGTATGTGTCTTTTCAGAATCTGTGACTTGCAGTTCAACCCAATTTAGCTGTGGTGGCCGCATCAATCGTTGTATTGATATGTCCTGGCGATGTGACTCACAAACAGATTGTGAAAATGGCTCCGATGAAGACAACTGCCGTAAGTCAGGCTGCGCAACTTAGTGATGGAGGCTATTGTGTCTTAATGACATCATAAAGGCAGGTGGTACCATAATACTGTCACATTTAATGTAAATGGTTGTTCCTGTTGCAGAATGCTGCATTAACTGTAGTAAAACCAACAGGGATAGAGATTCCTTTGTTGGAGCACCAAAGCTTGCATTGCTTTTAAAGATATAAGAGAGAATGTCCCCTATTATGGCTTGTAGACTTTGATTATCGAACTCTATTAGTCTTGCATTTTGGAACATAAAAGCTAAAGCTAAAGGATTAATTACTGTCTACTATCATATTTATTAGTTGAGACTTCAGGGTCCTTGCGTTCATTTGTTGCAAACTGCTTGGACGGGTAAATGAAAAACGGCAAGACAACTTTGAATCAGTGAGAAATGGTGTGCTCTTCAGGATAAGGGCCTCTCACTTGTTATTTAGTATAAAACTGGTGTATACTGATGATGCCCCCTTTAAAAAAAATGAATAACCCACTTGAAACCTTTGTATCCCACTGCAGATGTAGGTTGTGACTGACAATCTTGTCTTCTGCCTTTCTAGCTCCTAAACATTGTGCCGATCATCAGTTTCAGTGCCAGAATGGGAACTGTATTGCTCTGGATTTTGTCTGCGATGAAGATGATGATTGTGGAGATAGCAGTGATGAATTAAACTGTCTCGCCCCAACCTGCAATCCTGAAATGTTTCAGTGCAACAGCTCAGAATGCATTCTCAAGACCTGGGCCTGTGACCACGATGAAGACTGTAAAGATGGGTCTGATGAATCGCCTGAGTTGTGTGGGATCCAGGAGGGAGCTGAGGAAGCCAAGCCATGCTCTCTGTTGGAGTTCCACTGTGGGAGTGGCGAGTGCATCCACCAGCGCTGGCAGTGTGACGGAAGCTTTGACTGTAAGGACAGATCAGATGAGGCAAACTGTGGTAAGCATGAGCTGGGCACTTCTCTGGGCTCTGCAGAAGCTGAGGGAGATTACAATACACGTGGCACAAGATCCTTCACCAAAGGGGATGTTGGACTTAGAAGTCTTTGGTGGCTAAAGAAAGGAGTAAAATATCCATTATTTAAAGCAGCGTGTTTCAAGATAACATGAAAGAGAGCTGGAACAAACTGCCTTAGAGAGGCTTCAAAAGTACTTCAGGGGAAAGAACAAATAGAAATTAGGGAAGTTTTTAAAAAAAACAAACTGTCAGATGCCCTGAGCAGAACAGGTGCTGCATGTATTCTCAAGTCTTCAAGCGCTTTATGTAATAATAAACACAACCATGTAGTTTCAATATTATCGCTGTGATGCAGGCTAGGAGAACGAAAGGCAACTGTTTCTCCAACCCTGAATGTATGGATTTGAATTAGGAGCTTGATAAAATTGAACAGACAGTTGCTGAAATGGTGGTTTATGGAAGACTAGATCCAAGTGAGAGTTGAGCAAGATGGTGGTCAATTTACAAGTTGCCTCCAATTTCATTCATGACATCTTGCCCTATAGTAGCTTATGGCAGGTGCTGGCTAGCAACTCAAGCTTGACGGAGTGCTTTACGCTACAGGGAGTCCTTGTTTAGCAACCACAGTTGGGACTGACAACCCAGTCATTAAGCAAAGCAGTCACTAAGTGAAACTGCAACTGTGCTTATGATCTTACTCCAGCTTTCCTTTGCTTTACAGACCTGTGAAGGTCGTAAATGCGAGGATTGGTCACCAAGTTACTTTTTCATCAACATCGTAACTGCAAACAGTCACTAAATGAGGCAGTTGCTAAACAAGGACTGTAGTGCTCTCTGGGTCCTGATCAGAACTGCAACAAAGACAGCCTCGTGTTGTTTTAGAGGCCCCTTTCTTTGCTCTTGGTGCTCAACTAGCATAGTGACAGCTTTCTATTTATGGCAGAAGAATATAGAAGCGACTTGGTGCAGGTGCTGTGCGGGAGAGTTGATAGTGCAAGTTTACACTCTGAGCAGCTTGGTCATGTGAAATGAAATGATGTGTACTACATGTCATGCCAGCTAAACATTGAGTTGGCAAGGGTTCGGCATAATGGTGTTGTCTGTCTCTAAACCTCTTCTTGCTTCTTGCCCAGTGAAAACAACCTGCCGGCCTGATGAATTTCAGTGCAATGATGGAGCGTGCATCCATGGGAGCCTGCAGTGCAACAAGGAGTATGACTGCGAAGACACGAGTGATGAGATTGGCTGTGTCAACGGTGAGCCCTGCTGATAGCTTTATGTATGAGTCTGGAGAGCCTGGGGGGCAGTTGTCCAAAGCTGGAAAGGCCCAAGCCATGTTCTGTCTACATCCTGAGGTCTTCAGAGAAAGCTCCTCTGCGGGTCCCATCATTCAGAAAAGCAGATGACACACTTATAAACAAGAGAAGAAGTCGTTTTCTTGTGGGGATATCATGACTTGGACAGTGAGGGGAAGACTTCCAGCTGCTTTATTCTTTCTTAAATGTTTGCTGGGATTAGTTTATTGTTTGATGAAACTGGAACTGAGTTTGTAGTATAATGTTTTGCATTGCCTTGAGATGTCTTGCGGATGAAGGATAGTCTAGATTTTTTTTTAAAAAAAATAAAGAATATAGTGTGTGTTAATGTGTTAAGTGCCTCTGCTCTCTCTTGTTGCTACTCTTCTGCTTATCTTCACTTTCTTAACAGCTTTTCTAGAAAAGCTAAATGGAAACTGCACAGTGAGATTAAAGAATGTTTCTTTTTACATTTGTAATAGTGACAACTTGCAAGGAACCAAATGTATTTAAGTGCCATTCTGGGGAATGTATCAGCATGGACAAGGTCTGCAATGGGCTGAAAGACTGCAGGGACTGGTCAGATGAACCTCTCAAGGAATGCCGTAAGTATTTAACAATTTCATATTCTCTCTGTAGCAAACTACTGTGGCTGCAACAAGTTTGCTAACCTGACCTTGGCTGAATCCTCTCCCAATGACATTAAGCAGAGACAGACTGGCTAGTTCCTGGATAGCAAACCCCCCCCCCCCCTGCTCCCTGAAATGCTAGTTGTATAGGTTAGACTGGGGAGTTGAAAAAGCATCCAGGAAGAAGTCAGTGGCAAACCAATACTCCCATATTGTTGTAAAAAAACCTACATGGATGTGTTGAGCTGGACCGGAAGGACACTTTGTTTTGGTTTGCTAAGCCTGCCCTATTCTGCTTCGAATTAGAATTCCAGATTCCTTGTCTAGAATTAACCCATTGCGTACTTGAGCACTCTAACTTCCTCGAGGCTACAGCAAGAATTCCAAATCTGGCATAATGTTTTACTTTGTTTCTCCTAAGTGGGAGGGAGGGATTGAGAGAGAGAGAGAGACTTCATAATGTATTCCCCTCTCTTTTCAGGAACTAATGAATGTTTGACTAACAAGGGAGGTTGTTCCCACATATGCAATGACCTCAAAATTGGATATGAATGTTTATGTCCTGAAGGCTTTCAGCTGATTGACCAAAGAAAATGTGAAGGTAAGAAAGTTCTGCCGTTTTATTTTTTACAAGATGCTTCTTGATTTAATGCTGGTTTTCCCAACTTTGTAGCCTCTGAGTGTGTTGCTAATGTAATTCCCATCATTCCCAGTCAGCATAGATAACAATGAGGATGAAGAGACTCTTAAATTTAACTTTTGGAGATAAGAATTCTGCTGGAGGAAGAGGATTTCTTTCTTAGACACAGGCTTCCACTTTCTGATTTCTTTGGAGCTGGATAAAATGTGTTCTGTCCTTGCCATGTTTCATTTTGCAAACTGCTACAGAAAAGAAAAGCAACTTGTTGCTTCCTGTGGTAGCCATTGTGCAAAATTCCTTGCAAACCTGGATAGGAACATTTGCCCCTCCTCTTTTGCATGACATCATGGGAGGTACCCTTGATTTCACAAGACATGTGAAGCCTTTTTCCACAAAAGATTGACCACAGCAGTGACCTATTTCATTGAATGCTTAGCAACATCATCTTGGCTTTGTAGATATTGATGAGTGTCTTGACCCTGATGCCTGTAGTCAAGTCTGTGTGAACCTGAAAGGAAGCTATAAATGTCAGTGTAATGAAGGATATGAGACCGATCCAGCTACCAAGACCTGCAAAGCAATTGGTAAGTCTAGGCTTCCTTCTGTGCTAGAGTACTGGTGAAACCTTTTGGAATCTCTCAGTTCACTGGCAGTTGTGTGTGTGTGTGAGTGTGAGTGTGAGAGAGAGAGAGAGACCGAGACCGAGACCGAGACCAAGACCACTAATGGCCCTGGAGTCCCAGTATCCCTTTTCTTATTCCTTTACAGGCACCATTGCTTACCTCTTTTTTACCAATCGCCATGAGGTCAGGAAGATGACATTGGACCACAGCGAGTACACGAATCTGATCCCCCATCTTAAAGGTGTACTGGCCTTAGATATGGAAATCACCAAGAATAAAATCTACTGGTCTGACAGCCTTCAGAAGAAAATATTCAGGTGAATTAGCTGGAGCGTGTGTGCTACTTTTGTGATTGTTGAATGAACTAGTGAAGAATCAGTATTGTCCTGGCAAAGGGAAATGATTCACCAGCATCCAAAAAGGTTCCATAAGCAGATTTGTGAGTTGATATCTTGGAAAACTACACTTCTGGGCCCAGGGAAGGCAGGTTGAGATCTCCCAACATATTCAGTTTAGGAAACTTTACTGTCACCCCAATAATTAGGTTGAATGACCCCACCGCTCCTAATGCTGCTGCAGAGCAGGGAGAGTAATGCCCCTGCACTGAGCCCAATTGCCCCTGCAGGCCCATTTGCACAAACAAGGTTTTCTATCTGGTTATCTGCAGAGTGTGCCTCTTGATGCCAGCAGAGTCTCATGGATGACAATAGCTACTCCCCTCCCATGGGACTATAGCTGGTGTCAAAGCTGAAACCCAACCAGGCAGGAACTTTGCCTTCTAGTGCCAAATCCCAATCACCCCAGATGACTTGGCAAGTTTTTGGAGCTCCTCAGCCATCCCAGTAACCCCACTTCCACCCACCCTATTCTCACTAGAGACAGGAGGATACAAACAATGCCCAACCCTGGCTCTCACCCAAGGCATAGCCCTCCAGGCCCCCACCCAAATGCCAATCTTGAAGAGGGCCTTTTGATATTCTTATATGAGGAGCAGATGCAAGGGAGCCAGTGATGATGGAATCCAAACTTATTGCCCTAAATCACATTCTCACATATCCAGCCTGTATTAAAAAGGTCCATGCAGGAAGGAGTTAACTTGCCCAAAATGCCTTCCACTTAGCCTTGATGTCACAGAGGTTCCCTGGGGCATCTGTGTCCCAAAGGATGTCCTGAGCTAGCTGCTGCCAATCTAGATCTCCTGTTTATTAACACACAACCTTTGGGGGTCTTGTCTGCTTCCACTGCTGGCTGTTTCTTGATGCTCAGGAGTCAGGACATCAGGGAAACAGACAAAACAGCAACCAGGGATTTTGCAGGGGATCAAGAGAGAGTACCTAAATTGCCTAGCAATCAAAGGGTTGCTGTTAAGAAACAAGTGTTCTGAGTTTGTTGAATGCTGTTTTTATCAAGCTAGCTAAACCCTTTCTCTGCTGATTCAGTGCTAGTTGCTTCTGAATTATTGCTTGGAAGTGTATGAAAAATAGATGCTGTTTGCGCACTAATCCTGCACCCACCAAATTCTGCCACTGTGGAGCTTTTATTTAAATGGGACTTCCCTGTTTGTCTTCTACACAGTACCCCAATTGATAAGGCTGGCGACCACTCCCACCATTCAACTGTGATTAGCAGTGGCATCAAAGAGCCAGATGGCCTCGCTGTTGACTGGGTGCATCGCAATATTTACTGGACTGACTCTGGCCTAGGCACCATCTCTGTGGCCAACAGTGAAGGCTTGAAGAGGAAGACTCTGATCAAGGAGGTCGGCAGCAAACCACGTGCCATTGTGGTGGATCCAGTCCATGGGTATGAGTCTTCTTTGAACACTTACTGTTGGAGAAAATGAGGGAGACCAAGTCCTCCTCTGTGGGAACATGCTGTAGGAATGGTATCAGGAATAGTTAAGGAAAAGGGCCTGTGGCTTAAGAGAAAAAGCACATACTTTGCATGTGGAAGTTCCTAGACTCAGCCCCTGGCATCTTCACTAGGTTCATGGAAAAGTCCTACTCAAAAATCTGGGCAGCCATTTTATGTAGATGGACCATAGACCAATTCATTATAAAGTAACTTGTTACATCCTAACACATCTGAAAATTTAGGATAGCACCATCTGGCTGCTATTTCCTGTTGTGGTATTTCAAGTGTGGGACAGAATTGTGGGAGAGGCTATTGGGAGAAGCAGAAAGGCTTGACAGATTAGGAAAAGAAGATACTAGGGTAAGCATTCAAGACAGTGATGAGTTTTGTGCTGTGGATGAGTTGGCTTAAACTGACTTTTTGCTGTAATTGTCCTTTCCCTCTCTCTTCACTCCTTGGTAGGTTCATGTATTGGACTGACTGGGGGATGTCTCCTAAAATTGCCAAAGGTGGTCTGAATGGAGTGGACAGTTTCCCCTTGGTGAGAGAAGGCATTGAGTGGCCTAATGGAATAACACTAGGTATGTGTTGCATAGCTGAGAACAAAGCCAGCTCGGAAGAAGACGAGGTTCTATTCATCTGTATCTAAAGAGAGACCCTGTCCTCTGAGCTTTCTGTTGCTTGGATCATTCTGTCTTGTTCCCTTCCCTGACTGTCATTTGCCTAGTTAAATTATTTATTTATGCACATTGTTTTTATTGTATTTTAATTAGTATTCGTGTTTCATTGTAAACCACCCAGAGTTGTTCCTTGAGTGAGATGGGCAGTGACTAAATTTGAAATATAAATAAATAAATAACGTTTTATAAGCTCTTCCCCCATACCCATGTTGGACAGTCCTGTGTTGGGGGCAAGCAAGGTTGCGATACAGCTGGGGACACAGCTGGATATTGTATCCTAACCCTGAGAATCTGCTTTTTCTGTTGGATTCATATTGGTTGTCCAATATTTGCATGAGGAGCAAATATGACATGGTGCCCTTTTTCCATTTTGGACTGTAATCCCAGTAATCCTTGAGTCTAGGTTTAAGGAAGTCCAAACCATCTGAAGGGAGTCAAGTTGTCTACTGCAGCTTCAGATTCTAGCCATCAAAAGATCACAAACACATTCAATTTTGGGATTCAGATTGTCACATCTCTTGGGGATTACCTTTGAGGGCAGATTTCTCGGTAGTAGTATGGAACTGGGAATAGCCTCTTGGAAGTTGTTTAGATCAAAGCGTTCCAGATATCCAGGGTGGTTCAGTAGAAGCTTACGGCTCTTCTTTGGAAACTGACCCTTGAAAAAAATCAATTCAGCCTGACGTGGAGGATTGTGTTGTCAAAAATATTACCTCATGTGACTCTGTTTTCTATTCAAGGCTGCTGTGGCTTGTTGGAGAGTTTTTTCTTTGTATATGAACAAAATAATGTGTGGGATTTTGCTGTATGTCATTCTGACATCTTTCTTCTGTGCTAGATCTGATTACTCATCGCCTTTATTGGGTAGACTCCAAATATCACTCGGTTTCCAGCGTTGATGTGAATGGGGGAAACAGAAAGACTATCCTTGTAGATGAGGAGAAGTTGGCTCACCCTTTTGGCATCACGGTCTTTGAGGTAAGATAGATTAATAAGTTGTGGATCTTTGGCAATACCAAATAGTGACACAGTGTTGCTTGGATAAAACAGTTGCAGTGAGATGGAATTAACTCTAATACCTTTTTCCTGGTTTGTAATCAAAAGAGCTGCCACCACCACCATCAGCCCAGTAGAGATAAGGGGGCAGAAATAGTTGTTGTGAATCTCAGACTAATTTAAATATGCACAACCCATACTTTTGCACGAATACTTAAAAAGTTGCTAGCATTTCTAAAAGCCAATTAATAGCTTATAAGACTATAAAGAAAAATAGTAGAAGAATTAGATTTCGTATGGCATTAGCTTTAGTAGCAGAAGAGTGAACACAACTTTAAAAATAGAATTCTCCAAATCAGCGCATTAGATGGCTGTGAGGCAGTGGACATTCTAATTCTAAGCATCTGAAGTGCACTTGAGAAAGGCTGTTCTAAAATGTCCAAAGCGTGGATTTCTGGATAAAAATCTAGGCCAGGGCAGAACATTTTTAGCTCTCCAGATATTGATGAATTACTGCTCCCATTAGCATGAACAGGAGGGAGGGATGTTTGGCGATTCATCAACATCTATATGACCACAGAATTCCTGGCTTACACCCTTGATATAAATAAAATAGATGTTACAATTAAAACCAGCTTATACTATGCCATCCCCTTTCTGTTGCATTTAAAGTTTGCTTTAAAACCTGAAGCAATTTATTCACATGACTGAAATGGCCAGTTTATCAGCAAATCCTGTTTTCCTAGACCTTTTAATTCTGCCCTTTCCCCCAACCCCAGCTTATTTCTGAATGGATCCCCCTTTTGCCTTGGGAAACTCTGGTGGCTGGATATGTTTTGTGGAGTGGAATACAATTAGTAGTCAGGATGATTCACTGTCCATATTAACTCCTCATCCAGGATAAGGTATTCTGGACAGATGTTATAAATGAAGCCATCTTTAGCGCCAACCGCCGGACTGGCTCAGATATTGTCAAAGTGGCAGACAACCTCTTTTCACCTGAGGATTTGACGCTGTTTCACTCTGTGCGGCAGCCAAAAGGTAAGATGCCTCTTCTTCTTTCTTAGTGTCCTTTTCCTATTTGTGTTTCAGGCTGTGGGCCTTTGTTAGTTATTTGTTTGGGTCACTGCCTAAAAAGCGGTAACTTATTTTTATAAATATCACTCATTTAACTTGCCCATAGCTTGTGAAATTTTCTCTGAAAGAAGAGGGTTTTTATCTCTTTTCCAGGTACAAATTGGTGTGAGAAGAATGGCATCCCCAATGGAGGCTGCCAGTATCTTTGCCTTCCCGCTCCCCAAATCACTCTCCACTCTGCCAGATACACCTGTGCCTGCCCTGACGGCATGCACCTGGGCACCAACATGAGAAGTTGCACCAAAGGTACAGAGGCCGGGGGTGATAAAGCCAGGGTCCTAGTATGGAGCCAGGAGGAGCTTGCAAAGGAATAAATGCTGCCTTGGAGGGAGGTATTGATTAGGAGTTTTCTCCACCATTCAGATCCTGTTGTACCTGATGTCCCAGTGTCTGTTGCTGCAACAGTGCAGTCTACAAGGACCTCACCTACAGCATGGCTACTAACCACAGCCAGGACTCCAAGCCAGAAAACTGAGCATCTGCCTGCAGATGTGCTGAATAAAGTTGTTCCCGGCATCCTGGAACATACCACTCGTAAGATGGTCACCCTGTCCCAGCAAGGTGAGGGTCTTCTGTTCCATCCAGGGATCCTGGATATAACACCTTTACCTTTCACTGCAAAGCTGCAGTACCAGTTAGCATTACTTACTGCCTGTTGCCTGACAACTGAGTGGCAACCATTGAAAAGGCACAAGAAACACATCCCAAAAATAAAACATTGGCTCCATCCTGTTAAAAATCTCTTCCACACACATTTAGCATTAGATAAGATTTTGTAGTCTTGGAATAAGATCTCCATAGTGAAAGTGTAGCATTAGAATTTGACCAACCCTAAAATTAGGAAAATGGGATGGAGAAAGCCTGGCATGAATCTGTTCTGCAACTGAAGGAGGTTTGCTTCATTGTGGCAGTCCAAAATGTGGAGCAAGCCACAGTCCTCTCCTCTTTCCATGGAAATTCGGCACATGCTGGGTGGAGGAGTTAACTCTTCAGTCTCTCGTGTCTCTTCCCTCCATAGCTCAAAATGGCATTGCTGCAGAAACAGATGGGACAGAACGGAGTGGTCCATCAGCACTCGCTGTTGTTCTACCTCTGGGTAAGTTTCCCTTTTCAGAAGAGGGTTTTGTTGGGGGCAGGGAGAGGAGGAGGGTGTTCTAACTCACAGTGGTTAATATTTTCAATTAATGGGCATTACAAAAAATAAGTATTTGTGCTCAGAAAGCATATTGGTGTAATTACAAATTATTTATGATTTGACCTGTAGTTTTTACATGTCTACTTAGTATGTTCCTTACTGTAAGCTTAAAATGATTTGTCTTCTTGGGTGTGGGTTTCATTTCAGCACTGATTAGTTTAGTCTCTTTTGGGATTTTCCTCATTTGGAAGAACTGGCGTCTCAAGAACACCAACAGTATCAATTTTGATAACCCTGTTTATCAGAAGACAACTGAGGATGAAATTCATATCTGTCGGAGCCAGGAAGGATATACGTACCCATCGGTAAGCTAAAGTTCAAGACAACAGGAAAATGAAAGCTTCCACAAGGCACTAGGTGGGCGATATTGGGCTATATTTCAAAATAAGTGCCAAGACACTTGGCTTCCTTAACTTGCTTTACCATTACTGACCCAGCTTGATCCCCCACCCACTTAGTCTCATGGCCACAGAAAATGTCCTCAGTAAATATTTTGCTTAGATTGGAGAACAGAAACTGGGATACTTAAATTTCTAGTTTATGCAAGTTTGTAGAGTTTCTTTCTTAACAAAAAAAAATTCATATTAAACCAGAACTCAGATGTTTCACATTCATGGCATGTACAGGTAGTCCTCGTTTATGACCATTCATTTAGCAACGAAATTACGAAAGTGCTAAAAAAGTGACTTACAGCTGGTGCCCAAAGTTACAACCATAGCAGTGCCCCTACAGTGACCTGATTGTGATCTGGGCTCTTGGCAACCAGCTTGCACTTACAATGGTTGCAGTGTCCCAGGTCACATGATCGCCATTTGTTACCTTCCCAGCCGGCTTCCAGCAAGCAAAATCAATGACGAACTGCTTGATTCACTTAACAACTGCATAATTTGCTTAATGATTCACTTAGCATGATTCACTTAGCAACCACAGTGATTTGCTTAACAACCGCTGCGAAAAGGTCGTAAAATCGAGTCCGGTCACATGATTCACTTAACAACTGCATCGCTTAGCAACCTAAATGCCAGTCCCAGTTGTGGCCATTAAGCGAGGACTACCTGTATACAGAATGTAAGTGGAATGTGTAGCAACTCAGTCTGAATTCCTTTAAACAGTTACAAAATTTGTTTTAGCAGGTAAATACCTGTATTTCATTAGAGTTGCACAAATCAGCCCTTTGATTTAAAAAATCAAAATTTAAAATGTATTTTAAATGTAGCCTAAACGTTCACAATCTCAAACTGTTACATTAGTTCAAAAATTCTTAGCCCACTAATTGTCTTTCATAGCATGCCCCTCCAATCCCCAACACCCCCCTGGTTTCCCTTTTTAGAAATATGTGAGTAAAGCAAACAGCTTTAGTTATCTAAACATCCTTAATGAAGGCAGATGAAATTTATTCAGAGGAAGTGTTGGTTTGCTCCAAATGATGAATTAATGTCACTACAGTAATTCACTTATATTTAGGTTTTGGTTTTCTAAAAAAAAATAACTGCACAAGGATTCATGCCCAGCCCTTGGAAGCTGGTGTTCTGTTCCCTACCTTGGTTTCATCCCTTTCCTATAGGCCAGTGTTCCATAAAATAGAAAATACGTCATTTCCAAAGCTCTCAGCACCTCTTTTTAACTGTTGATCACTGTCCCACATTTATGAATCTGTAGCTTTCCAAAACTGAGGCAACTTTAAGATCTCTGAAAAGTTGAGTAAAGTGGATGAAATTGCAGAACTTAGCCTGACCTCTGCCATTAAAGGTGGGAGAGAAAATGCCCATATAAATTCTTGGCTGCCAAACTAAGATTTGAGCCCAAGAGGTTTTGAGCCATCCCACCTAGAGCACCTCAGCAGCTGATTTCTTCATTCCACATCTTTCTTCTAGAGACAAATGGTCAGTCTGGAAGATGACGCAGCATGAAACTGCCTCTACACCTCAAGCGCCTCTCTCAGGACTTTGCTGCTTATTTTCTGGGAGGAAGAACACGCGTGGTCTGGCTTCAGTTCTCTCCCAGGCATCCAATACCACTTCCTGAGTGACTTGATGGATCGTTCCCACTCTCCCTTATTTGTTTAAGAAGGGGGGCATTTGTCAGCTGCCATCTTCACGGGACGTTGCAAGTGAAAATTGATGGCATTGTTGGTTTTTTATGTTTTTTCTATATTTATTGTTGTGCCCAGTTCTAACAGGGCACTGGTATCTCTGATGTGCTTTGGCTCTCCTTAATCTGACATGGTGAGACTATTCCTAGGTGTGAAAAATAGGAATTCAACTGAGAGAAGTTCTTCTCTGGGTGTAAGTTTGGGTGTGGTGGGGCCTTCCTGTGGGGAGACCTTTGTGCCCTGATTGATTAGGCATGAAGTAAGCCTGGAAGGGCTGGGAGCCTAAGTCTAATCTGAGACAAGAAGTCAAAGTCATCTAGTCCACGAGCTTCTAGATCCCTCTCAAACTAGACCAGACAAGTTTTGAAAATGGATCCCATCATCCATGTTGTCAACAAGAAACATTGACTTTATTTTCTAACTCCAAAGGAAAAAAGCTCAAGGTATTTGATCCTGTTGAGAACCTCCCTGTTGATTCAGGGTTGCCTGTTCTGCTCCAGCTTTCCCTGTCCAATCTACCATGCACTTTTGTTTTTGGGTTCAGTTTGTGATCTGTGTAGCCTGTAATCTTGTACAACAATATTTGCACTTGATTGTTTTCCTGGTCTCTCTGGTCACCTGTGTCCAGAAAGTAAGAGGGGAAAAAAACCAAACCAATGATACAAACAGGCTGACTCTGGGAATGTTGCATTTGCTTGGTGCTGGGCCTCTTGTGCCTTTAGTGCAGGTAGACAGAAAAGGGCAATAGACTGTGCTGGCCAAAAAACAGGAATCGGAAGCCATTTCCCCCCCATATTCCGTCTCAACTCACTGCCATACTGTTGCCTTAATATTGCGCCTCCCTTTTCTTCAGTGTTACTTTTTTATACTTCCCTTCCTAAAGGAAATAATGCTTTTTATACAGGGATGGAGATGCACAATGGATTCCCCCTTCTCCACTGAGTTGTAGCACAGAATCAGAGTTTCATGTAAGTCAGAAAGAACCTGTCCTACATGTGTCACTTTCTGTAGTCGAAGGCAGTGGTCTGTTACGCATTCTGAAGTGGGCTGAAACTAAGCTGATTTGCTCTTTTGCAACTGAATTTTCTGGAATGGTAAACAGATGATATCCTGACTACTTGCTACTTTTAAAATACTGGTTACAGAGAAGTAGAATTAGGATATCAATGCAAAAGATCTGCTATTAGTATAACCTTTCCCATTCCCTCTAAGAAACAGAAAATACTTGTGCACCCTGTCTCCCTTTGGTAATGCAGAACAGTCATTGGTTAGGATAAGAAGTGGCAGTTTTTTGCTCTTGGCCTGGCACTTCTAATTCCCTTCCCTTTGAGAGGAAAAGCACTAAATGCCAAGGGGAAGCCCTCAGACCTTTTGTCCGGAAGCTGTGAAAGATGCCAACCTCTTTCACCTATTGTAAAGTGTGTAAATAATGTATGTGGTCTATGTTAAGGTATAGATTTCCTTTGCACAAAAGTTGCCTTGTCTATTTGTACATATGTTCATAAAATTCATGACTTATTTATTTATATGTTTATATTATTGTGATTGCTAATTGGGCTGTTTTTCTGTCCCACCTTATGTTACTATGTCTTTTTCATTCTTTTCCACAAAAACTCTGCTTGGAGTGTGCATGTTTGTGTGTGTGTGATGTAAATGTTGCCCCTATCTGGACTAATCTGACAGGATGAACGCAGTATAAAACGTAGGTATTTGTAGAAATATACTTTTCAAAGAACACAAGATCTACTGCTACTTCACATGGTTGGACCTTCTCCTTTAGTCTATGGTTTGAATCACAGATTATTTTTGCTCTCCTACTGGTGCTCTTAATAGAATGCCTGGTAGTGAGGGACTGATACCAAATGAATGATTAACTTTGTCTTCTGCAATATTTATGAATCTAGTAAACCTAGAAGAGGTATGTTTCCCTTAGATGCCCCTTTAACTGCTGACAGCATTTCTTAACTAGCTATGGCACTGCATGTTTTTGTTATTGTCCTCTGCTGCCCAGTTTCTTCTGGGTCAGCAGAATTGACTACAGCTGGAGGCAGCTGGGAATCAATTGTTTTTGGTTCTGGTGCCTTTTGCTGTTGCACTGTGAATTTTTAAACTCAATTCTGCATCACTGTATTAGAATTGCATGTGAGTGCCCAAATTCATAAATGCAAGTTGTCGTGAGGGTCAACAAAAGTTTGTAATGATCAACAATTAGGGAAGGTTCTGTTTTTACATCTTCAAGAAAGGACAGAAAATATGATGTAATAGCTTAGGGGCCTTAAAATGAACTTTTGAATTTTTTTTTTTTAGGGGTATTATATTAAACATCATCATAGAGGCTTTTTCTGAAATCAAAGTCAGTTTGATGAATTGTTTTAAAGAAAAAAAATCACAAGGTTGATGGAAGGAGTGCCTCCTGTAAAAGAACCTCTTGTGTTGCTAAGCAGCTGCTTTAATATTTCAGCCTCTGTCAAAAGTGATTATTAGAATGACAATCGTTGTGAAAAGCCTCACCAATTAGAGGCTGAACCCTCCAAACAGCCTAGGCATATTAAGTGGGTTCTCTTGGTTTGGCTGTCTTCCAAAATCTGCAGTTTTTTACACAAGCATTAGCATGGTGCCACTTGGGACAAAAAATGTGGATTTTGAGAGGATTATGTCAACTGTCTAGTTCTTTTTTTTTCCTACATCAGTCTAGAACTCTGCTCTAATACCTCTCATGCACCTGCATGACTCTCCAGAGCTGTAGGATAGGACCATAGGATGGAGCTGTGTTCTCATTTTATGAAGCTAGCTTTAGGACAGTCCTTTCAGCCTACAAATCACGAGCCACACTTAATGGACTTGTTCTGATCCGTGGAATGATAGGGTCAGTTAGGTTTCAGGATGTTTATGTTAAATCTCAGTGTGTTTTTCAAGATTTTTTTTTTTTTTCCAAAAGCAGAAAACCTATGGAAGATGGTTGGGAATGGGTGGCATGCTGAAGCAAACAGCAGGCCTTTGCTTGGTTCACTCAGCTCTGGTGTGGTGGAAGGTTGCAGAATGACTTGGAATGCAGTGGATGACAGGGCTCTCCCTTCTTTCTGTGATACCCTCACTTCATGCTTGCATATGTTGGTTCTGTTGCCTTCCTGGTTGAGGCAAAGGAAATCCAGGTGAAGCCATTTTAACTGGATAGTTAAACTGGTTTTACATGTAAGCATCTGACTAGTAAGTTGTACCTTTACAGATGCATTGAGCTATATTTTTTTAAATATTAAACATGCCTTTGTTGGAAATTTATGGGGTATTTCCCCAGATATTGAATGAATTTAATAAATATTTAAATATGCTGAAAGTGTTTTATGCTTCTTTCTTTGGCCAGGGTCTGAAAAGTGAATTTCAGTATAAGTGTTGACCGGGGGAAGAGTGCTCTTGGCCTTTTGTATTGTCTCAATACACAAAGTTGGCATTCTTGGATTTGGGCAAATGCACAATATGCTGTTTTGTGGAACTGAACTCAAGTCAACATGAGCCAAGTCCCAAATGTATATGAAGTTTCAGAGGCCAATAAGAGTTTTGAATTTGTTTGCATGCACACACCTGAACATAGTTCGTGTGCCACGGAGCCTTAAATAAACCATGGGTATTCTGTACACATAGCACTCAGGACTAAATCATGGCCTTGAGGTGTCAGTTGTCTCCTCAAGTTATACTTCCTCCCCACTATCATATCTCTTTTCTTCATTCTTCACTCTTATTAAGGCTGGAAGGCCAGTTCCAGCAGCCTTTCCTAATCTGGAATCCTCCAGTTGGGTTGGGACTACAACTCCCAGAATTCAGATGTCATGTTGGATGGGGGATTGTGTGAGTGTTAATTACAACTTGAGGCTGCCTGGTTGGAGAAAGCTCAGGTATCATTTTTCTTAGCACAACTTTACATGATGGTGAAAACAGGTTTGATTCTTCTATAATTTATTTTTTGCCCTGTTGTAGTTTTGTGCTAATTGCTAGGAATGGCTTCCACAAATCTGATCCTGCTTGTTCTGAGTGCAGCTTGGTGCCAATTGCTATGATGTCAGAATATCATAGTGTATGACAGTGGCTGAAGGATGGCAACTGGGCACAATGTCTTTTCTAGCAGGAGCCCTGCAACTTATTGCTCTTGGCCCTTGAGCTGAACTAAGTGCCCAGCACATAAGCATATTTATCAAGTGTTTCCTAGCTCTTGAGAGAGTTTCTCAGAGCCTTAAAACAATCCAGTCAAGTTGACCAGTAGCCCCCTTTGCAGCTTGGAGCAGACAGAGCTGGCCCAAGGAATAGTGGCTTCGACTAAGACTGATGTGATGGGCTTTTGGGTGTTGAACCATTCATCCTCTACACTGTCTGATCTCAGCATATTGAGCAATGATTTTCATCCTATCCAGCTATTGTGGCTAATTTCCAGTCAGCGGAATTTATTTATTTATTTACTAGACTTATATGGCCGCCTATCTCATTGTATGACTCTAGGCAGCTCGTAACAATTCATAACAAAGATAAAAACAATTACGCTTCCCCCCAGGTGCCAGACCAAACAGTCTCCCAGCTCAACCCCCATCCTAGCCCAATGCTTGGGGGAAGAGCCGGGTCTTCACAGCCCTCCAGAAGGCTAAAAGGGTAGGGGTTATCAGGCTGGAGACTCTTGTAATATAAGAGCAGTAACACATTTTCATTTTTTAAAATTATTTTTTTCGTTCGCTAACTTACCTAAACTGTATGCAGATAGTTGTTGCTACAAGTCTAAATAGTGATTTCTGCTGAAAATCTTGCATTTGCGGCTTCCAGTAGCTACAAGTCAGTTGCCAACCCTGTCAATATTTAAATGTTGGAAACCATCCTGTATATGGTTTGTAAGGTTGGCAATTACTCTAGCAATTCCTAAAAACAGACACTCAACTAAAAAGTTAAAAACTAGGGAGGTGCATTCAACTTTGGTTGAATCCCAGTTGGCTTGCATTATTGTGAACCAAGCTTGTGCCTCTAGTAGGTGAAATGGTGCATATACAAAGTGGCCACAACAGCCAGGTTTCATGAATGATTTAGCATCCTGGAGTGCTACAAAAATGCAGGCACTCATCTGCAAAAATTACAGTACTGTGCTCATTTTCAATGGATCACCTGGAATGGGGAGGGTAGGGGGGAGAGGTGAATAAAATGAAGCTATTGACAAGTGTTTTTCTGACCATTAGGAATGTAACTGGAAAACTGATAATCCAGAGCTTTGGAAATACTTTCTTGTTTATAAGAAATGCTGTATGCTTTTCTTGAATGGCCATCACATTCCAGTGTGAAACTAAAAGATCCTGCAGAATAAAAGGAGAAGGGAGAGTTGGCTTTGCCTGGTGCTGTAACGAGAATTATGTGTGTCAAGTGAACCCCCAGACAAATGCAAATTTCATCTCTGATCACCGGCATGTTAGAGAAGTGCATTAGCTTACTTCATTACTTCAAAGTAAAGAGGGATTGATGGATTCCAAGTTATATGCAGCTTGGATATTCAGTTAACTTTAATTCCTCCCTGTGTGTGCAGGGTGAGGAAATGGCCTTTCATGTTCCTGTTTCATCCCAATTCTTGTGAACAAAAGGTTAAAAACCTAAAAAAGACAACAGCCCATTTCAGATTACCTTTCCACCCAGGTCTGAATGACAGGAGGCCAGGTGAAAATCTTGGGTAAAATACTCTGCCTTAACCATGCTTCGACCAAGAGCTTAGTCTGGATGACACACAAGAACTACAATTAATAGCTTCACACACCACTAAGCTAGGCTAACTTAAAAATTGCTCCAAGTTTTTCACTCAAGGCATGGAGAACAGAAGCCTGTTAAAACCTAAAACTAGTTTTTAACAGAAACCTGTTGAAATTTCTGCTTTGGTTAACCCTTAGTCAAAATGCCTTCTTGGTTAGGTGCTGATTGCTGATAATACTATACCACTTTCATCCAATTTTAAGCCCCCGATAAGCATTACGTAAACTCTCATTAACAGCTTGACTCAGGCATCCACTAAAATGTTGTCCAGGCAGACATCATGGCCAAGGCTGCCACAGCTGTGGAGGTAGAATGATTGCATTGGTATTCTGGATGGTCTCCAAGAAACCAAAACGTACAGGAAAATCTGAAGCTGGCACACTTTCAAAAAGGACTGAAGGTAAGCTTAGAACTGTTAAATGAGCCATTGGAGACAAAGGGGCATCATTCTGCTAGGAATGAAGATACAGTAGTATTACCGGCTAGCGAGGAACACAACTTTGCACTCCTGTCTTCCCCCAGCGAAGGCCTGCCTGTCTCTCATGACATATTTGCTGCATCAGAGAATGTGTGAGCTAAAACCAAATGAACAAGATGTGAGTAACTCAGAACCTCTTGCCTATTTCAGGGGTATTCATACAAATTACGTATGAGTGATTTGATTCTCAGTCCTTCTGTCGATAACTTTCATATTCAACTGCTATTGTCAGCTCTGACAAGTCTTTATGCCCCTCCTATCCCTAATGCTTGTGCTGCTTCGAATATGCAACATCACAGCTAACTAAACATCTCAAGTCTTAACATACCTCCTTTCAGTGCTGCAAGAGAACTGCCCATCAGTTACCAGTCGAGGAAGGCTCGCAGACCTCTGCCTTCATTTCACTCCATTCCCCAAATGTTACACCCACCCTTTGCCAGTTGGTTTCCTTTAAAGGTAAACACTGAGTACAAAATTCCCAGCCCTACCCAACCCACCCACCCCCTGCCAAGCCGCATCCTTCGAAGTCCCACCCAAGGAGGGAGTGTGCAGGATGCAGCGTGGCAGGGATCCACTCAAACAAGAGACTTTAAAAAGTAGAAGTTGCCTGAGGAGTTGCAGCTGTTTCAGTGCTAGAGACAGTCGAGGCAGAGCTATAATGGTCGTGTTGTTTACCATTGTTACAATCGGCGCTTGGTATCCTGTAATCCAGTGTTTCCCAGCTTCAGCAATTTTAAGATGTGTGGACTTCAACGCCCAGAATTCCCCAGCCAGCCATGTTGGCTGGGGAATTCTAGGTGTTGAAGTCCACACATCTTAATGTTGCTGAGGTTGAGAAACACTGCTATGGTCCAACATCAGTGGGGGCCAGCCAGTGGCCTTCCCAGCCTAGTTGCGGTCCTGGCATTTGCCCAGAGCAACTCTCCAGTATTACTTTTCTGAGCTCCCCATCAAAGGGGCAGGGGAGAAGGCCCCCCCGCAACGAGCATCACCTACTTTCTTCTTGGTGGAAAAGTGGCTACTGGGTTGTGGCTGGAGCTTCTCCCCTCTTTGTTTCGCCCTGAGCTGTGCCTCCACAGCTTACCTCAGATTGCATGGCCCAATTGCTTCAGCCAGGCGGCATGCAACAGCCTCTTTTGTCAAACGCCCCCAGGACTGGCAAGCTGCCCGCTGAGTTACTGCCGCAGCACTACAGCTCTGCCCGACTTCTTGAGCAGATGGCCCAAAGCGGCTGTGAGGAGCTCATTAGCCTTTTCATCTGACAAACTGGCACCTTCTGCTCCAACGTGGCAGTTGGCCTTTTTCCCCCGTAAACGAAAAAGCATTTACTCCTTGCCAGGCACGCTGGTTGGTCCTGCGGGCTCCATGCTGGCTGCAAGGGGCAGGGCAGATGGCTTGGCTGAAGGCTGGAGGCCCCCGGGTGGGAATGAAGAACAAGAAGGTAGCCAATAGTGCCCTGGCTTTGGCCTAAACGCTCCTTGCTGGGGAAGGATGAAGCTGTGCTAGTTTCTGGCTTGTAAAAACTTAAGCAAGGGCCCTGACATTTTTAGGCTGAATATTTTTGGATTTCTTAAAAAGAGAACCTTACCAGCACTTGCACAAAAGGGCTGCCATAGTGGATATGGCTAGTCACTATTTGTCAAACAGAAATGATGCCCTTTCCTCCCACCATCTCAGCTTATTTCTGTCCATTTTCTCTGGACACACTTCAGACAGAGTAGTGACCTGCAGGCCTCTATCAATGATATTTTCTAAAAATGCCTCTGAGTATATGTGGGTCCCAAAGTACATATGGAAATAAAATTTGTGCTTGAGGCTGGTGGTTTGATTTGAACAAGGCTTGTTTCCCCTATATTTATTTTAATTTTTGAAAAGGCACAGAGCTTCCGTGGCACTATGCAGCTGTTTGTCTTCTCTCTCTGTTTGTTTCAACCTGGAAATGTTAGATTGACTGACATGCACTCTATTTGACCCTCTGATTCCCACATTCACTTTACAGTGGTGGAACCAACCCCCCCAGAAAGATTTATTGGTGGGGGGGAGGGGGGAGGTGCTCTGTCAGCCATCTTTCCATATATGCAAGAA